TTATGGGTTCCTTGCACCGGGAAACACACTGTTATAGGGCTTGGTGGTTTGGGAAGTTGACGTGCTGTTGCTTTGGCTTTTGGGGCTCATGTGCACAACCGGCAACACCATGGTTTCGGAAAGGCAGGTAGTTCAGCCTGTCGTGGTCGTTCATGATCGCTGCCTGGGCTGGGCCACTGCGTTGCAAGCTGTTTCATGAATTTTGGCACGAAACGTGTTCGTGCATATGTAGCTATATAGCTCCCACCAACCAACATGAAGCCTGCATGCATGCTTTCAAGTCGCCTGGGTTTTGTATTCACATGAATGCAACCCATGTACATGCATGTGTTCATATGGCATGAATGCAACCATGCACATGAATGCTACCCATGCATTGTGTTCACATGACATGAATGCAAGCCATGCATGCAACTGTGCACCAAAGCTGCTCCAGCCATGGCCACCGCTTTGGGCTTCCACCCACCATGGTGACTCTGCCAGGAACCCACGAGGCCTCGCGAGCCCTTTGCACCACCTGCTGGAGGACGTGGTGGTGCCGGTGGGGACGGTCCCATAGGCCGTGGTGCCGGCGGAGGGTTCACCTCCGAAAACCCGGGTTTACATATAGGGTTTATGGGGTTTTACAAAAATTGAGAGTTTTGGGTTGATACCAAATGTTTCGATATCATCCTGGCCTCGCCCACTCGCCTCCTCTTGGATGCATCTTGAAGCTCCAGCTGCAGCGACTCATTGTGCAGCTTCACCTGCTGCAGCTCATCCTCCAAGACTTTCTTCTGGAAGAGCAGCTCCTGTATGCACTCTTTCATAAAGGTGCAAGCCCCCTGGCCTCGTACTCGCACGATTCCCGAGCGACCACGATTCCACCATGGCGAAAAGACCGATCCCACTGGTCTTCGCCGTTCACCGCCACCCTCGATGCTGCACACCACTTCCACACCATCCCAACAGCCGGCAACTGACTCATCGGCGATGTGGTCGGCGACGAGGTAGGACCCGGTCTGGTTCGACCAGAACATATACCAGTGAGACCCGGGCTTCTTGAGAATCAAGCCATCATTGACCTCGACGTTCTGCAGCACCCAAGGGCCAACCAGGATGTCGAGGACATTCCTTGGCTGATGCACAGGACCATGCAACATGTCATGCCATGCCATGCATGCATGCATGCAGCCCAACTGGCTCAGCAACAAACAACAAGCAGCCCAACTGGCTCTATATATAGTACATGTGAATATGCATGGGGTGAGCACACGGTGTTCAAGAACATGCAACAAGTAGCCGAACCGGCTCCACAAGAAGTTGCCAATTGAACCACACGTGGCAAGAAGCTTGTTTTGTCCCGTCGACACGAACCCCTGCAGCCGACAGGTTCAAAGCAGGCAATCCTTGCATGCCCTGCTTTTCGGAAAACTATTTCTTCAGCTTGGCAAATTTACCAGTAGCATGATAGCCCCTCCGGCTGGAACAAGCACATGAATCACAATCCTCAGCCAAATACTCTATAAGATTAACCATGTCTGGCTCCTGCAACAACACAGCCGGAGAGGACTTCAGTGAAGACATCATGAAACATGCTTCTTTGCCATTCGGCAAAGTGACAGTTTTGATTGTGCAAGGCAAGACTGCACTAAGCTTTCTTTTCTTGCTGGCCTTCTGTGGCTCCTTGTTGTCGTCGAACAAGTCGGGTCCTGCATCCTTGGTCTGCTTGGGGCTGAACTCTTTGCAGAGCAACTCTAGCAAGGTCTTCAAGTTGGCACTGCCGGCGATGGACATGTTCTTGGTAGCCATAGATGTGCAAGGGCAAACTAGTTTGCAAATTGAACGGTGGCTGCCAATGATCTTCACGAAGTGCTGCTCGCCATCTTGCACAACCAAGTCGGACGGCAAGGTGATCACATGCCCCTTGTGTTTCACCTGAAAAATCTTCTCGATGGAGAACTCGTTGTCAGGCGACTCAGCATCCGACATGGTGCTCTCACAAATCAAGCTTTACTATCTGGCTACTGTCAGCAGAAGATGCTTCATGCAAATTGCAATCAATGCTGGCATGCCATGCTATATGATGTGCACGTGCAATCCATGTCTGCATCCACACAAGTCGCTAAGCAGCCTTCAAACTTTTGTCAAGCATTCTGAAATGCATAGCTCAATCCATAGAGCAAAATTTGCAGTTCAATCCTGCAACCACATGGTGCTTCTATATACAGCTTATAGCTGGTGCCTGTGCATGTTCCTAGCTTGCTTTCCTCTTCTTGGGAGCAGCCTTGGAGGCTTCCTTAGCAAGCAAAGCTTCAGCTGCATGCAACAGGAGTTCCCCCTTTCTGATAGATCTCGAATTGGTGTAGCAAGGGATTGCCAGACCCCCATGCTTAGCATTGGTCAGCTGCATGTTAACGGCCTCAGCATCCATCGATGGCTTCACGTACCAGAACGGTACGAGCACCGACGTAGCAGTGACATTATCCATATCACCGACAGCCTTTGGCGGGCTCAAAGCATATCCCGAGACCTTGTGGCCAGGCTTGCCATCATCTCGTTTCAAATCACCATAAGCGATGAGTTTGAGCTTGCCCTTCGGGATGTTAATCGTGGCACAAAGGCCCGTGGGCGGGCTCACGAAGCTGAAGCCATCGACCTCCGGGAGATTCACGAACGTGTCGTAGAGCAGGATCTGCATTCGCTGCATGTCAATGGCCTCACCAGCAGCCGAGTTGTTCTCCACGAGGTACTTCGACCAAGCCGCCTGGTCCACTACCTGCACAATCGCCTTCTTCGTTTTCTTCCACTGCTTCAGGTCATCGGACAGTGCAATGGCCACTGTCCATGCATCTTGCATTAGGGGCCGATGTTCAAACCTGCACAAACAACATGCAACATCATGTGCATGCTTTCATGCAGTATGCAAGCAGTCCATGCTCAAGCATGCAGTACATCATGCAATTCAAGTTCAAATCAACTACCAAGCTACTTCGCCGACGTGTCGTTCAGCTCCAACAGCTGAAACACCTGGGATCCGTAGTCGCTGTGCTGATATAGGCCTCCGACCTCCAAATGTGGATGCTGCATCATAGCAACGGTTGATGGGCTAGCCTCCAGCAGGTTCGCTACCTTCGAGGGGCTTGCGGTCGGAGCTGCACTGGAACTCGTGCCCTTAGGACCCAAGAGCTCGGTGGCGAGTGCCTGGTTGATCTCCTCCAAGCTATTCCATTCTTTGTTCTCTCGGCCGAACTTTTGCTTCTGGCTGAGGTATAGCACTGTTCGCACACAACAGCGCCCGAAAACGGTGTATCGCTCACCATCCTTCAAGGGTGCATTCTGTGTGGCAACCCATGCATCCTTCAGAAGCCTCTCTGCTTCAAGAAGCTCGGGTTTTGATTTGGATTTGATGCGGTCCAAATCAGCTTTGACCAGTAGCTTCGCAAACTGGTCTTGGACTTTGGGTGAGGCCACCTGTGCAGCCATGCAAGCCACTCTGAAGCATGGGGCCAGGTTGGCCTCAAGCTTAAAGTCAAAATATGTGATCAACTGAGTGAACTCTTGTCCGAGGCGAATGCTCTGGCCGTAAAGCTTGCCTCGCAAGTTCCATGCTGTGCAAACCTACATGCATGCAATCTGCATGTATCGAAAAGTCATATAAACTATATATGGCAAGACAAGCAACTAAAGGACACAAGGAAATCAACCAAAGGCATCTCGTCGCCCCCCGTGTACTTCTGAGCAAAGAATGCCACCGTCTCCAAGTACTCTTTGCAAGCCGGTTCCCCTTGCATCGTCGCTGCAGTGGCTTCTGCAACCGTCTTGCCCAACTTCAAGCAATTGCTGATCGTGGCAAGGCACTCGATCTCTGTCGAAGCCACACACACCGAGTTGTTGCTATTGAGCACAGACGAGTACAGCAACGGGAGACTCGGGAATTGGTCTTCCAAGGTATCAGCAAGAATCAGCCAAGTCCATCCTTGGCTCAGGCACCTTTCGACGGGCTGACCCTTTTTCATGAACGAAGAAGCATTCTTCACAAGGCCCTGCTTCATGGATTTCAAATAGCACGTGGAGTGAGATGAGCCAACCGTGAGAAACAATTCGTCGCCAACCACTTCGGGCATCACCCCTTTGGCTTGGGAACAGCATTTCCGATTTGCTGCAAGTTGCTTGTCACGTTTCACTGCATTGCTGGACATGCAGAATGCTACTGCACTTGTTTCGAGCAAATCAATCCGCAGGCCTTGGCTCATCATCGTCTCCCCCTTTGTCACCATATCAAAGCTATTCATCATGGCACCTCCCCGATTTTGGGGATGTGTGCAAAACCTCTCTGGTCCATGGACTTGCTTGGAGGCGAGCCCGTTGCTCAGCCACAAATCATTAAGCTCCAACACCTTGAGGTTCACTGCCGCATCCGATGCCATGATACGGTCAGCTTCTGCAATGACTGCCGGGGTCAATGCCATGGTAGGCCGCAAGTGTATATACGGCTTGCTATCTGAACTGCTTTCCAACCAAACACTGCATGCACCATTCATATCTAAGCAGCACATCATATATGCATGCAGCCCGTGGACTCCATGCATGCAGCCAACATAGCTCTCATGCAGATGCAAGACATGCAGCCCACATGGGCTCGAACATCAATCTTATGTATAGCCTTGCAAGCTAAAAGAACAATCAAGCAATCATGCAGCCAACATGGCTCTCATGTATATGCAAGTCGTGCAGCCCGCATGGGCTCGAATATCAATCTCATGTAGCCCATGTAGGCTAAAGAACAATCAAGCAACCATGCAGCCCAAATGGCCCGCATGTATCATGCCAACCATGCAGCCCACAGGCTACAAAGCAAAGATGCAAGCAACCGAAACATACCATGTCATGCAACATGCAGCCAGATGTCGGCTAATGCAACCGCACAATATGCAACCGTGACCCCACAAATCTATCAGTTCACACAGGAAAAAAGGGAACAGCAAGGAAATAATTGCAATTCCTGAAACCACAAAACAACAAAAACAAAGCAGCAAGATAGTGTTTTCCGATATAGGTTTTCCAAGTTAAAGGGGTTAGGAAAATTACAATAACCGTTTATGTAAATAGATAGTCAGAGTTGCAATTATTGAAAATTTAAACATAATTAGCGACTTTGCTAGAACCCCTGAGGGGGATACGTTTTTTGTTAGCACTTAAGTATGTGTTATATGCACATTAGATATGGGATACATGTGGTTTAGTAAGCCATGCAACCATTAAGCAACACCCCAAACATTCAAGTATACATCCTAATTCAACCCTTCTGCCAGAACCCTTAAGCCTTCTATCGAAGCTTCAGCCCCTGCTCGGGAAGATGCATTTTCAAGGAGCGCTTCGTGCAGCGCGGTGGTGCTGCTGATTTGGCGGCGACGGCCGCGGGCTTCGGATCATTCAGGGTTCTGAGGGTGTGAGGGTTTACCTACAGAGTATAGTACCTATATTTTCCATTGTAGTTCCTTTTTGGGGTTACCTTATGGGATCCTTAATATATAATTGGTTAAACCAAAAAAAGGAACTACAATGGAGACTATAGGTAGGTTATGACCCTTGAATTATAGGGTCTAAACCCTAAAACAGTAGGTTTTGGGATCCACAGGTAGGGCTTCAAGAATAGTAATGATACCATGCGTTCTTGCGGGGTTCTGAGTAAAGTAAGTCTGAAGCGCTGTTGGCACTTGCTGTGTGCGAGAGTGTTGTGTCTGATTGTAGCCTGTTTGTCAAGCCTGTGTAGCCGCTTGTGGGCTGTCACGAACTCACGAAACCGAGCAGAACTGTATGCAAAATGCACACTTCGAATCCAGTGTGTGGGATTTTTCTTGTCGCTCCCAAAGCAATCATCAATCATAGATATGGTTGTTGACACGGACCTCACGTGAAGTCGTTCTTTTTTGCAAGCCCTCAACCCTAAAACCCAAAACCTTCTATAGTAGTTCGGCCATGAACCCAAACTCAACCCTGAGAGTTTAAAGTCTAATTCACCAGCCAACAGGTCAGCTAGGTCTTAGGGTTTGCTTTAACTTTCCCATACCCTAGTTTATCGGAGCCTTAGTAAATGGAATAGGGGTTTGCGGAGGCTTGTTGTGGTATACTATGATAATTTAAGGACAAAAAGAGGATAGTATTGGTAATCCTGAGTTCCTTTTTGTTGATCCTGAGTTCGTTGGGAAGCGCTGGAAGTCCCGCTATGCCACTGTGTATCAGTGTAAGTCTTCGTGACGTGAGGTTACCCGTCCGGCCAGTCGCGGCAACAAGCCTTCGACCGTGCAGGCCATTGTTAGCACAGCTGGACAGTTCAGAACTTTGGGAAACTCCTCCGGGTGTGTGTTTATAGGCTTTGCGACTAGGGGGCTCAGGGTTTGAGATTTTGGTTTTTTTTATGTTGGAATCTAATTTTGAGACGCCCTGATCCCCTGAACCACAACTACTACCATCCCCCTGAACTACATTTTTGGTGAAACCGTATAAAAGTGCATCCAAGGAATCAAGAATCCTGTGAATATTTCTCAAGCAACCTCAAGACCCATGCGAAAACAATTTTCTTTAATTCCTTTAGTTCTGCCCGCCCTAAACTCCACACCCCCAAACACCGCTCCCTAAACGCATGTCAGCTCTGCACCCCAAACTCCCAAACCCAGACAAACAGGCTAGAACTAAGAGAGTAAAACCTTTATTGTTCTTGAAGAACTGGCGACTCTCGGAGAACGTTTGGAACTTTTGCTCTTTTCCTCTTCTCCTGGCCAGAGCATGGGAAGTGCATGCGGTGATTCGGGATAATATTGATAATGTACTCTACACTATGCGTTACGAAACATAACATAATGTACGAAAATATACTGTACTGTGTAATGCAGAGCACTCTGAACATGCCTTCAATGCTGCGTATGCTGCTACTGCTAGTAATATCAGTAGTCGGTCGTGGTGGTTGATAGCGGTGGTGGTGGTGGTGGTGGTGGTGGTGGTGGTGGTGGTGGTGGTGGTGGTGGTGGTGGTGGTGGTGGTGGCGGTGGCGGTGGTGGTGGTGGTGGTGGTAGTGGTGGTGGTGGTGGTGGTGTCCTAAACCCTGAAACCCCCCAAACCCTAAATCGTGAACCCTGAAAAAAAAACACTGAAACCCCCAAACCCTGAAACCCCTAAACCCTGAACCCTGAAACCCCTAAACCCTGAACCCTAAATCCTAAATCCTTAAACCCGCAACACTAAATTCTAAGCCCTAAACCCTGAGAGGTGCCCAAGAAAAGCGGGGGAACTCGACGAGGAGCCGGGTCATTTGGGATTTTGGGGAGCAGCTGTTTTGGCTCCTGTAAGGGCCCCTGTAAAGGGATCTACAGGGATACTACAAGGGTATAGGGTTTAGGATTCTACTTGGAGGTTCATGGGTAGCTATAAGCAGGCTTATAAGCCCCCTAATAGGACTATATCTACAGTTAACCGAATTATAACCCCACTTATCACTGCCCATGAACCTCCAAGGAGGGTTGAGGGCCCCATTTTGCCTCAAGTCATAAGGACCCTTAGGGGGGGAGGGCGGCAGGGCGCCTTAATAGCCACAACAAGGATTTAATTAGGCCTTTGTAAGGAAGTATAGTCCCCTACCCCCCCTCGAACCCCCTATACCCCATCAAGGGTTCCTGTGATTAAGATGTGCTTTTGTGTTTTAGGGGGTAGGGCTTCGGGACTCTACAGTAAACCCCATAAAGTTGGAAACCCGATTAAGGCCAAATAGTGCTGGGATTCCCTAGACATTGCTCTTAAGGATTGAGGCTATTGGGTTTCCAACTTTTGGGCTTCTACTGTAAGGGACGGGAGTCTTTTGTGGATTCGTCCCTTCGGGTTTCTAGGTCTGGTCCTGGTCTCGAGGGAACAGAGAGCCCAATACCCCTTAATTAAGGAATGTAGCGTAAATCATAATATGAAGCCCTACTAGGATGCCCGGTAGTACCCTTATTCCCTTTTTGTAGTCCTAGGTTCCTTATAAAGTTACCCAACGCATAGTCGTGACGGGGCGCAATCACCAAGGTGATGTTGATATCGATCGAGTCCCTGCATATGCTACGCTTGTATGGCAGAATCCTCAAACACTGATGTTTGATGCAGTTTTTTGGAATCCTCCTCAAAGTGAAAAACATGAATTCAAGTTGAAAAGACAAGAGAGGCCTTTTTATTCTTAGGTTACTGGGTATCCTAGCCTATATACTTTAAGCCGTATTTCATAATTAAGGGGTATTGGGCTCTCTGGGCAACAGAGTTTAGGGTGTAAGGTTTAGAGTTCAGGGGCTTATGCTTTAGGGATGGTTTGGGCGTCTTATGGGTCTTCTGTTTCAGGGTTTGTAGGAGGTCCTGTTGGGCGTGGGGCTTAGGGTTCCAGGTCGTGCAGGGCTCTCCCTCACTACCCTGACCCCAAGTCACCCTAAACGCAACTACCCCAATACTAAGGACCATAAGGGCTCTATACCTCAAACCCCTAAATCCTAAACCCCAGGCGCCAAACCCTAATCCGCAAAACCCCAAACCCCAAAGCGCCACGCACTCACTGAGCCCTGCCCTGAACTCCTGAACCGGACAGGACGTACTCCGCGAACCCTTCCTAGCGAGAAAGCACGCGATGCGACGGACAGGCGGGGCACCGAATGGTGAGGATTTAGGGTTTAGGGTCTGCTGAGTGCCTACATGTGCTCCAGGGGTGTTCGGCATTCGGAATTTCGAAAGGATTCCGGAATTCAGATGCAGTGTGTATGTGCCTCAATCCAATCCCTGAACCCTAAACTCTAAACCCTAAACCCTAAACCCCAAGGGCAATGATTGTCACCTACTGACCGCTTCATCCTGAGTCGGCCCTCACCCTAAACTTAGGGACCCCCAAAAAGGACATAAGCATAAGCATGTTATAGGGATATCCCTACCTTAATGGGCCTCATTATAAGGGGGTGTATATGGGATATCACTATCCTAACTTTTGCTTATTATGTGCTTTTGTGGGGCCCTATAAACCCCAAACCGCTAAACTGGTAAACCGGAAAAACGAAAACCAAGGTCCCTGGTGCCCCAAACCCTAAACCCTTAAGTCCGAAATGACAAATCCAAAACGTTAAACCCGTATGCCCAGAAAACGACACCATAAGCGGCTTCTCCCTGCGCTCATAGATGCACAGTGGATTACAGTAGTACTGTTCCGTAGAAACAGCACCCGCTGTGAGGTAGCGCGCGAGCTTGGTAGAATGGACACCATAGACCTTAGATTTAGCATTCTGGACTAATTCTAGACCCAATTCCCGACAGCCGGCTCCGAACCCCAAATGCGAAGGCATCCTCGGCCCTGATTCAGAACCCCAAGCCCTAAAAACCGCAATCCCCAGTTCAAATTCACACCCAAAGCCCGGAATGCCCATACAGCCCTAAACCACTGCACCGCTACACCCAAAACCCCACT